ATGAGCAACTGTGTACTTGTAAGGACAATTACAATAACTCATTTCTATAGATTATTAAGGTTAACAAAGCAATCTCCTCTCATCAGGCCTATAAAGTAGGTAAACCAAGTATTATTAATCTCCATTTCCCAGATAAATCGAGGTACAGAGGTGGGTAAGTGATTTGCCCAGGGTCACACAGCTAATAAGTATCAGAACCGGGATTCAAACTTGTGTCTTCTGCCCTGAACTCCAGTGCTCCTTGCTCTATGCCAAGCTGTCTGTTGTAAGGTTGGCATGTTGTTTTGTTGGGGTGGGTCCATTATGAACCAGATTGGCTCTTGAATCTTTTTGAGAAATTAGGGCAGTTAATGGCTCCACTAATAGAGTATAAGACCGTAGTTCAAATCCAGTCTTAAATACTTACTAGCTGTGTGACCCTGGGTAAGTCACTTAACTTCTCTTTGCCTCAGTTTCCTCATCTGTAAAATGGAGGTAATAATAGCAGCTGTTTCCCAGGGTTGTTGTGAGGATCCAATGAGATAATAATTGTAAAGTGCCCCTAGCAAAATGCCTGACATATAATAGGCCTTATATAAATATTAGCTATTACTATTATTAGTAGTAGTATTTTGAAAGAGATGTCAGAACCTGGGCTTTGCACATTCGGAGCTTACCTTCTATTGAGGGCATGCAGCAGCTTATGCTGCCCCCATACCTGGAGCACACTCCCACATTACTTCCAATGCCTAAAATGCCTAGTTTCCTTCAAAACTCAGTTCAAAAGCCATCTCTTACGTAAAGCTTTTTTCTGGACCTCCTTTAAAGGGGAAGTGTTAGTGCTTTACCTCCAAAATGACCCTGTGTTTGCTTTCTATGTATTGTCTTAGATGCGTATGCGTCATTTCTAATGATAATAATAATAAATAGCTAACATTTATATAGTGCTGGCTATGTGACAAGCACTGTGCTAAGAATTTTACAATTATTATCTCATTGAATCCTCATTGAATCATGGTATTATTATCCCCATTTTACAGATAAGGAAACTGAGGCAAAGAGAGGTCAAGTGACTTGCGAAGGGTCACACAGATAGTAAGTGTCCGAGACTGGACTTGAACTTAGGTCTTCTTGATCATGGGCCCAATGCTCTGTCTTTCCAGTGTGCCACCTAGCTGCCCTGATAATAATAATTAACATTAGGGGCAGCTAGGTGGCACAGTAGGTAGAACACCAGCCCTGGATTCAGGAGGACCTGAGTTCAAATCCGGCCTCAGACACTTAACACTTACTAGCTGTGTGACACTGGGCAAGTCACTTAACCCCATTGCCTAACCCCTCCAAAATAATAATAATTAACATTTATATAGTCTTAAGGTTTGTAACGTACTTTACAAATATTATCTCATTTTATCCTCGCAACAATTCTGTGAAATAGGTACTATTCCTATCCTCATTTTACAGATGAGGAAACTGAGTCAGAGGTTAAAGGATTTGTCCAAGGTCACATAGCTAATAAGTAGGATGCAACTTCCTTGGAGAAAAGGGATGGGGATTGTTTCATATTTGTTTTTTTATCCTTAGTGCCTAGTACAGTGCCTAGCATACAATGGGGATTTCATAAAATCTTGTTGATTGAAAGAGTGAGTGAATCAGGGGAGAGATGGTAAAACAACAAGTGACTTGTGCAACTGGTATTTAAAAAAAAAAAGACTCGGTCTTATATTTATGCAGTTCCATAAGAAGCACCTTTCCTCATTCACCAAGATAAGGGGAAGGTATTCTTCCTCCCCCACTTCCCTATATACACGCAAGGATGCATACTGTCCTTCTGTGTCTTCTGTTCTCCTTGAAGACTGCCTCTGATATTGATTTAACATAAGCGTACCTGCATAACCTAAGAATGAGGTCAAGGATGTCCAGTGCATCTTGCTTCAGACCCTGTTTCCCTTAGGACTAACCCTGGTTTTGTTACTTATTCAGTCCTTCATGATAGCCCTTCCGTGAAGACCCTTGAGAGAGCTCTCTGCAGGGCTGACTGGATGTCAGTTGCAGCGAGATGCCCTCAGCCATGCAGAGATTAAACGTGAATAGCTTCACCAGCTCCCATGCACATGGCTTCCACGGCCCCATTTGGATTCATTCTGTTGGATTTCATTTTCAGAGAACACTTAATGATGAAAGATGGTGTGCGAGGTCTCCCGCCTGCCCAGAGGCCTGGCTTCTCTCTCTCTCTCTCTCTCCCTCTCCCTATCTCTGTCTGCCAGCACTAATATTTAGCAAATTAGATCAACTGAATCTCCTAATAGAATAAACAACTGGTTTGTGTTCAGGGGGAAGGGTAGCTGAGCTGAATGGGTACTAGCAGTAGGGAAGGGCTCTGGGAGGAAGATTCCGAGGAATTCTTCCAAGGTCAAAGCCACTGTTAGAGGGCAAATCCTGGGTCCTATCCCTGGTATTTCTGTAATAACAAGCATGTTTAGGAGGGGAGCTGTTGGGATGGAGAGGGGTAGCTGGGAGGGAACTCCAGGCAGCAGTGGAAGAGAAGGTCTAGAAGGTGTATGTCATGATAATCATGGGAGGTCCCAATTTCTAATAGTGCTTTACAGTTGTTTTTATTGTTGTTCAGTAATTTGAGTCATGTCCAACTCTTTATGACCCCATTTGGAGTTTTCTTGGCAACCAGTGGAGTGGTTTGCCATTTCTTTATCCAGCACATTTTACATATGAGAAAACTGAGGCAAACAGGGTGAAGTGACTTGCCTGGGGTCACACAGCTAGTAAGTGTCTGAGGCCAGATTTGAATTCAGGAAGATGAATCTTCCTGACTCCAGGCCTGGAACTCTATCCACAGTGCCACCTACCTGCCCCGTGCTTTACAATGCAGTTGGCAATAGTGTAAATAATAATGCTCATTACTGTGGCATCTTTAGCTTTACAAAGAGTTGTGCTCACAGTAAACCTCTGAGGTAGAGTGGACGTGTTGTTTCCTACCTACATTTTGCCACTGAGGCTGAGGTCTGAATAACTTAATAACACTTCCTTGCTGTACATAATGTTTTTCTCACAATAGCCTTGTGAGACAAGTGGTTCCAATATTATTATCCTCACTTTACAGATGAGGAAATGGAGCCCCAAAGAGACAAAGTGAAGTGGCCTGAGTCATTCACCTAATAAATGTCACAGCCAGGACTCAAGCCTAGGTGTTTTGATTCCTCAAAATGTGGTATTCTTTCTGTCCTGCTACATTATGGAGGCGGGAGTGGGTGGGTACTATAGAGAACTCAACAACCTCCATCATGCAGACTTGGTAAATTCCCTGGGATATTGGGACCCAGGAGACGGTCCTGGAACAGCAGATGTTGCTGCCTACCTCAGTGGTGTGGCAGACAGAGCACTACGTCTGGAGTCAAGAAGATCTGAGTTCAAATGTGGCCGCAGATACTTGCTAGCTGTGTGACCCTGGGCAAGTCACTTAACCCCTATTTGCCTTAGTTCCTCATCTGTAAAAAAAAACACGGGGACACACTAGAGAAGGAAATGGCAAATGGACAGGAGTCCATGGGGTCACATAGAGTCGGACATGACTGAACAACAGTACTACCACCACCACCACCACCACCACCACACCAAGCTCTTTTACTTCCTTTCCTGTTCTCCCATCTTTGGGAGAAGTGTTTACTCCAGACCCTGACTGGCCCTCAGACAGAAAGCACAGCAGTAAGTTGGCCTTAGGGCCTCCAGCATCCCCCCTTATACACCATTTTCTCTTCTTTTTCCCATTTGCCATTATCCCTATAATGTCCCCATCCTGTTCTCCTATCAGAATGTATTGTTTGAGAAGATTCTGGTAAATTCATTCTCATTAAGGTATAAACGATGGATAGGGCTTAATGTGTGATCTTCTTTCAGGTCCATTCCACACTAAAGTCCATGATAAGATTCGTGATCTGTTGCAAATGTTTATCTAGTCTAATCTACACTATCAATCCTACTGATATGGATTGGTCACCGAGCCTTTCCCTTTCCTCTCCCCTTTCTCCACCCCATAGCAACATCCCCTAGAAGCGTGAGTGAATAGTTATTTGCTCAGGCCTTTGTACGGTGGTTTGGCATTTCCAGTTTTCCAGGCAGCCAAGAGAAATTGAGGTACAGGAATTGGTAAGAACTGATTTGTTGCCCCAGCACTGTTTCGAGAGCAGGATTGGAAAGATTACTCAGATAACAGGATGCTTAGATCCGTTCCCCTCCCTGTGTTCTTTCCTGCTTTTTGGGTCTCCAGCCTGAGAAAACATCATGGGGTTAATGATACAACCTTGGCTTTTGCCCTTCAGCTAGGAAAGAGAGAGCCCTGGGCTTTTGCTGTTGGGAGAGGCAGTTATTGCTACAGCAAGTTGGGTGAGGCAGACCTGGCTACCAGCCTATAATAATGATTAGGTTCCCTGGAACCAGAATGAAATTAGCCTGGGACAAGATCTGGGAAGAGCTGCTGGCTTGACACTGCTGACCTCTAAAAGCCTGACAGTTCTCTCTGGGAGGGTTGGGACTTCCCAAAGCCCTAGTTACTCTGCAGGCCTCCTGTGGAGTAAAAAGAGTTCTGTACTGATCTCGATAAGCACTTTTGTATCGCGTTTCTCGTTTGCAGTCCTGTGAGTTTGGAGGGATTATCAGATGGGATTTTTATAGAGTGGGATTATTATTCCCATTTTTCAGATGGGAAAACTGAGGCACAGAAAAGCTAAGCAAGATCCAAGGTGTGAATGGCAGTGTGGGAACCAGAAACCAGCTCTCTTGTTTGCTAGTCCAGTGGCATGTTTTCCTGATGCCGTGCTAATTATTTATATCAAAGATGTGATCCAAGCTGTGCCTCAGTTTACTCATCTTCGTAGGTTGTCATATGCTCCTTTGGCATTCAGGAGGCTCTTTGGATTCTTGGATGGACTGATGGTATGGTATCAATAATGTCAATCCTGAGTGTACTTCCTTTTGACCGAGGTTATGTTGGCTTCTCCTTTCCACAGAGGCCTGATTGTGGTGAGCAGCAACCTTAGTTATCTCATCGAACCCCTTCCTGATGGGCAAGGTCAGCATCTTATTTACAGATCAGAACATCTCAAGTTGCCTGCTGGGACTTGTGGTTATGAGCATTCCCAGCCCAATGCCACGGACTGGGTTCTGCAGTTCACAAACCAAGCCAGGAAGCATCAACGCAGGGTGAGTTCCCCACAGAGGAATCTGGGGTGCTAGACTTTTGCATGAGAATGGAAATGTGCATTGGCCTGCTCTCGGACCCTTACCTTGTAGTAGGTGGTCTTCCAGATACCAATTAGAAAAGGAAGTGTGAAGAAATGGAAACAGAGGAGGGAATACCTATGATGTCCTTTCTCTCTTTTCCCTCTCTGAAATTCCAACTTGATTTATTGTATAGATAAGAATGTCTTATTCACCAAATGGGAGATTGAGGTGTTTGTTGATGGCTAAGCATAAGTAGACAGCCTTTCACAAGCTTGTGGGCATTTATACTTCCTGCCTTAAATTGCAACATCTGCCTTAGGTTAAAAATTCCCAGAGAGACCAAGTCTATCTTGCTTGGAATGTTGGGCCGTGCACATAATCATTGGGATAAATGCTTTTGGTGGCAGTGATCATAAGATCATAGAACTGGAAATGGAAGGAATCTTTGAGGCCTCATGGAGAAAGCTGAGACTCAGAGAAATTAGTTAAGTGGCTTCTCCATGGTCACACAGCTAGCAAGTATGCAGGGCAGGACTTGAATCCAGGTCTTTATGACTCTTAATCCAGCACTTTGAACACTTAGGATCCAATTGCGACTTACTAGGAATCCACAGTCTTTTCCACACTTCATAGGTGGGCTCTGTGGGCTTCGTATGCCTTGCCAGACCTGTCGTATGAATTCTGCCCTTTTCCTGTGATGCAACCCTTGGAAGAAAATAATTTACATGTCCATGTTCTTCCCCTTTCCCACCAGGGAATGGCTAGGAGCAACAGGTGCTAACAATTGGGTGGCAGTTAGAATCCCTGAGGAAAAGAACTTGGGAACCAAGAGTGTAAACAAGAAATTCTACATTCAGGAAAAAATTCACAGGGTAACTAAGGGGCTGAGCAGGAGATAGAAACAGGAGCTTGAAGCAAAGGTCCAGATTTAGGACATGGGCATGGAGTCGGGAAGAACACATTCTAAAAGGAGGCGTTGGCTATACCTGCATCCTCCATGTTTCAGATACTGTCCTTTTTGGGCTGTGGGTTTCCTGGACCCCTCCTCAATCCACCGGATTAATGTTTCTGTGGTCTTAACCTTTCTGGGCCTCAGTTCCTTCATTTCTAAATGGAACAGATGATGTCTTAAGATCCGATGTACCCCCAAGAATTCTGAGTCTGACCTTGAGAGCATAATCAGGGAATACTTTTTGTTTGCGGAAGAGGCATATTGAGGTGGCCCTCCGATCTCTGGGGTGATCGCACTGTGACCTCTAGTGAAAGTTAACCTTAGCTGACAGACACGGGAGGTCCTAGTTGGAAAGTTCCCAAGGGTAGGAACACAGAACCATGGATTTAGAGCTCAAAGGAACTTTAGAAGTCAAATATCTTCATTTTCCAAGATTAGGACTTGAGGTCCGGAGGAGAAGTTAGATGGCTGCTTGAGGTCACACATTTAAGTAGCTAAGATTTGAACTAAGCACTCTTTTCACTCCATTTGTGTGGAGTCCATATGGCAAAGGTGTTGGTTTCTCATTGGTGCTGCTTATTTAATCATGGTGTCTTGGTGACAGTGGTGTTCATTCACAGCTCATGCTTTTCCTGTTCTTTACAGTCTTATCTGATCAGAGAAATTAAGTCAATTCCTATTCTCTCTGTCTCTGTCTGTCTGTCTGTCTCTCATTTTTGAAGATGTGGCATTTGAGGATGGGGAAAAGTTTAAGTTGTATTTACTTTAACACTCTTCCACTTAAAGTGGGGAGGCAGCCATGGTTTGGTATCAAGGACACTGCCTTTCCAGTCAGCGTTCTGCTACCCTGTGTGACCTCAGAGAAGACACTTAGCCTCTCTGGACTTCCGTGCCTTCATTTGTAAAATGAAGTGGGTTGACTAAATTATCTCAAAGGCCTCTTCCAGCTCTAAATCTTGTGGTCTCATTCATATCTGTGCCAATATCTCAGTGTGTTCCCCAACAGTAACCAAGGGGAAGGAGGAGATGGTAAGATACCCAACTACAGTGAGCACAAAGGTCCCAGACTCCATTGCTGAGCACTTCCTTTGAAATGATGCTAAGTTCTACCAACATTAACCCATTTTCTGACCCCTTAGGTCAGGAGGGAAGATTTACAGTCTATGAAGTATGTGGAGCTCTACTTGGTAGCAGATTATGAAGAGGTAAGGAAAGGGGCTTTGTTAATTATTTCTGTGTTGAATCTTTCCCATTATTGCCAAACAGAAGGAATTAAATAGCCTTTACTTTTGTTTCTTTCGTTGAGCATATCAAATTTTATCCTTGAAAGGGTTTTTAAAAATCCCTTTTGCCATCTAGAACATGGTGAAAAAAATGAGGAAAAGCCCTCTGTAAATCTCTCTGTAGGTACACGTAATAAAACCGATTATTTCAGGCACAAAGAGCCTACTTTTATTGAATTATCATAATAATTTCTTGTTTTATACAGTGACACAAATTAGAAAGTATTCTCACTCTATGGTCAACTTCATGTTAGAGTGAATTGGCTAAGAAGTAAGTATGTCTTGAGCCCTCATCTAAAGCAGTTTAATTCCTGAAGAACTCCAGAGACTTCATTACCTGGTGGTTTCACTGGTATTGAAGGAAATGGGCCCTGAGGAGGGAGAGTCCTCAGTCTTCTCAATTCCATTGAATTTCTCCATTCCCTTTAGCTGTAAAAGGCCACAGTCAAATCGTAGACATCACCGTCTCATAATTGCACCACCTCCAAGATCTGGAACTTTGAAATCACATCATGTGGACTCAAGCTTCTACCCTTCCCTTTCACTTTTTCATGCTCATAAAGCCTATTCTTCAGCTTGGTTATAACTTCTGCTCCTTTGAATCGTCCCTACTCTCCCAGTCCACTTCCCCCGTTCTGACTTCGGTTGGCTTCATTCTGAGCCTGGACCCCATGATTTGCTGCTTTTTTAAAAAAAAAGTTATTTATTTTTAATATTCTTTTTTAAAATTTTGAGTTCCAAATTCTCTCCCTCCTTCTGGTTCCTCCACCACCCACTGAGAAGACAAACAATATGCTATCAAGAAAAAGAAAGTGAAAAAATTGTCCTTCAGTTTGCACTAAGAGTTTACCGGTTCTCTCTCTGGAGATGGATAGCATTTGTCATCATGAGTTCTTTGGAGTTGTCGTGGATTGTTGTATTGCTAAGAATTGCTAAGTCATTCATAGTTGATCATCATACAATATTGCTATTACTGTATACAATATTCTCTTGGTTCTGCTCACTTCACTTTTCATCAGTTCATATGAGTCTTCCCAGGTTTTTCTGAAACCATCCTGCTTTTCATTTCTTGTAACACAATTGTATTGCATCCCAATAATGTACCACAATTTGTTCAGCTGATCTGCAACTTTAATGTTTTACTAGCTACTGTCCTAGAATCTCTTGTTTCCCTGACCTTCCAGTGTTCCTTATTCCTGGATAACTTGCATCATGCCATTTTTCTTATGCTCCAGTGCTGAATCTTCCTGAAGATAGTCACAAAAATTAGCAGATCTCATGACATACATCCTTGGCCTGGACCTTCTGCTTATTGACATTCTTTTTATTCTATTCCTATTCATTCTCTATCTTATACTCTGTCGTGATTTATTACATAGCATTTTTTTCTCCTCTTGCCCCATTGTCTGTATTTAAAGCACATTATCTAGCCTTCTGCTTCACTGAGAAGGCTGAAACCCCCCAAGGAGAGGTGTCTTAGCCCCCTACCAGGAGTCCTCAAGACTTCTCAGCATCATCACTCATTCTCTCAGCTTCCTTCTAACCACGGAAGAGAAGGCATCTATATTCCTCTAGGACTAGTATCTGTGATCCTGTTCCTCCTGCCTCCTCCAAGACCTTGCTCTGACTGTTAGTCATCCTCTCTCTCTTAAGCATCTTCAATCTCTCTTGACACTGGTTCCTGCTCTACCAATAAACGTCCCCAGTCTTAATAAAAAGTACTTCCTTTGACCCTTCTATCCAGCTACTGTCTCACCTCTCTCCTTTCATTCATTGTTAAATTTCTTTCATAAGTTGCCTCCTTTCCTTGCTACACAGTCTCTTCTCAACCCCTTGTAATGACTTCTATCCCCATCAATCTTTCTTCAAAGGTCTTTATTGACTTCCTCATCACCAAGTCCAATGGCCTTTTTGGGATCAGAATCATGTAGATTTAGAGATGGAAGGGACCATGGAGGTCTTTGAGTTCCAGCCCCTCATTTTATAGAGGAGAAAATTTAGGCACAGAAAAGTTGAGGGACTTGCCCAAGATCATGCAGTAATAAGTGTCTGAGGAAGAATTCAAACCCAGATCTTATTGATTCCAAGTCTTGAACTCTATCTCCTATGCCATACTACCTTATTCCACTTGATCTCTTTCCAGCCTTTGACATACTATTGACCACCGCTTCCTATTGGATCCTCTGTCTTCTAACTACTTCAGAGAAGCCGTTCTCTCCTGGTTCTCCTCGTATTTTATCAGAAATCCTTTGTTTCCATTGGCTCTTCATCCCAACCCATTAATGTTGGTGTTCCTCAAGTATTTGCCCTTGGCTTCTCTTTTTTCTCTACACTTTTTTCCTTGGCAGTTTTATTCACCCTACCTGTCACTTCCATACAGATGGCTCCCAAAGCTATATTTCCAGGCCTGTCTTCTTAGCTCCACATGGGCATCCCCAAGTGTCCCTGGGACACTTTCACCTAAATGTCACAAGAACACTTCAGACACGATAGAATTTCTTATATTTCCCCTGCTCCTCTTTCTAACTTCACTGTTTATTTCTGTCTGTGGCTTTACTGTTCAACCAGCTGCCCATATTTGTTACCTTAAAATTTATTACCTTTGACTTTTTCTTCTCCCCGGCCCTCCTGTCCAATGAGTTACCTAGTTCTATTGATGCTACCTCTATAACTTTTCTCACATCTGTCGCTTCTTCTCTATTATAATGCCACGACCCTGGCTTTCACTATCACCTGTCTGGGCTGTTGCAATGACCCCCTGACAGATTTTTCTACTTCCTCTCTCCTACCTCCTTTCTTCATGCTGATGCCAAAATAATCTTTCTTGTCCATAGATCTGATAACATTGCTCATTTGCTTAAAAATATTCAGTGTCTCCCAGTTGCCTCTTGTGTAAAGTTCATCCTCCTTAACCTGGTTGTCACCCTATTTTCCCAATTTTATTATATTTTGTTGCTATTCATGCACTCTATCCTGCATCCCAAATAATCCTACTCTCTGCTTCCTTGGACAAACCCTACACGCTCATACTTGTCTGTCTGTGTTCACGCTTTCATTATGACAGGACCCAGCTGTTAACTTCAGGGGAATTTGAATCTATGTAGCAGTAGTAAGTGCACTGGACTTTGAGTCAGAGGACCCAGGTCTTAATACTTACTACCTTTGTGACCTTAAAGTCACTTAACCTCTTTGGGTCTCAGTTTTCTCATTTGTAAAATGAAGAATAATATCTGTTATTTATATATAGCTTAAAGGTTTGCAAAAACACTTTACAAATAGTATCTTATTTTATTCTCACAACAAGCCTTGGAGACAAACGTTATTATTACCCTCATTTTAGAGATGAGGAAACTGAGGCAGATTGAGGTCAAGTGACTTGCCTCAGGTTACATAGCCAATGAATGTTTGAGATTGCATTTGAATTCACATCTTTCTGACTGCAATGCTCTATCCTCCGCTGTGCCACTTCGCTTCCTAAAAGGAAGGGGTTGGGCTCAGTGATCTCTAGAGTCCCTTCTAGTTTGACATACTATGATCCTTTCAATCCTAGTCCTCCTTCCCCCTATTACTCTGATCAATCCCTATTTATTCTTTAAAGATCACCTCAAATGCCACCCCCTCCATAAAGTCTTCTCTGATTTCTCTTTTCCCCCACTATTACCAGTTCCATGTGGGGAACAACTTTACTTCTCAGCTCTCAAATGACACTTTGTTTCACAACTGTGATGCCTTTATTAGATAATACTGTGTTACTATTTTGTACGCTTACTAGATTCTAAGCTCCACAAGGGCAGAAGTGTGTATGTATCTTATGAAAACTTTGCATTTTCCCCAGTTCCCCAACTACAGTGCTTCATACACAGTATGTCTTTAATAAATATTTGTTGAATTGAATTGGATTGAATTGAAGACAGAATTATGATGAAGTAGCCCGGTAGTGCTGTATGCCAAACAAAGAATCCAGCCAATAAGAAGACGACTGACATCTTTAAGCTTAACTTGCCAAGACTCATGTTTTGGCAGGCCCTCTTTTCAATTTATTTTGAAATTTGAAACAATTTGATAATGGCTTTTTTCTCCCTCCTCCCCTGCCTGTCCTTTTAAAAAATGTTTTATTGATGCTGTTATATTTTTTATATCATTGTTATTTCCCCACAATTCTCCAATAGCACCATTACCTACCCACTGGCCACGTCTGAAATTGTATATCTCATTCTCTATTTGTTGCCCTCTGCCTTTCTGCTAAGAGACGTGTTTCATCCTCAGTCTTCTGAAGCCCCAGTTGGTCACTGCTTTGGTCAGAGTTTTGAAGTCTTTCAGCATTATTTTTATTACATGATTAGAATAATAATATAATTTGTCCTCCTGGATTTACTTACTTTCCTCTGCTTTAACACATACAAGACTTCCCAGGTTTCTCTGAATCACTTATGTTTGCCATAATATTCCATCACATCCATATTCCACAGTTTGTTCAGCAATTCCCCAATCAAAAAGTACCCTGTTTTTCCTTTTAGGTCTTTGCTATTACAAAAAGTGCTTCTCTAAATATTTTTGTATGTGTGGGTGCTTCTTGTCAGTCCTTGACCTCCTTAGGGTATCTTCCTGGCACTGAGATTGCTGGGGTAAAAGGCTTGGTAGAGGTTTCTCTAACTCCTAATTTTCCTCTTATAAAGTCATTGATTAGAAAAACAATACTATTAAGCGTTAAAAGACAAGAACTCCCCAAATACCAGAATATCATAGCCCTGCTTCGTGTCCAAGGATACTGGATTGTATGAATGACTTTTCATTTAATCTAGTATATGGTTTCTCTGGGAGCAGAAATGTTGGCTTGGAGAAATGAGACAGCTGCTCAGTCTTCAGGCCTGTTTCTTTGCTGATCTCATTTAGTTTGCATCCTGGGGACCTGGAAGGGGTGA